CCGGCGCAGGGGCGGGGCCTCTCCGACCTGGGACCTAGCTAGGCTAGCTCCCAGGTGAGAGTTGGCACTCTGGGGAGGGACCTCACCTGGCTGCCTTCGTTCTCTATGCCGGCCAGAAATATGGCAGAGCCCAGGAAGAGGCATATGCAGAGGTGCAGGTGCACGGTGGTGCGCGAGCCCTGGATGGGCCGCACCAGCAGGAAGGTGAGGATACACAGCAGCAGGCAGACCAGCGACAGTGCCAGGCCCACTTTGGTGATCAGGGCCAGCTTCAGGTCCTAGATGCAGGATGGAATGGGAGGGGCTTGATCAGCACCTTGAGGCCTTCTGCCCTCCTTGTGGGCCCCACAGCCCAGACCCCCCTGGGACCTGCCTGACCTCAGGACTCAGATCAGGCCGATCACCTCCCCCCACCTCTTGGCCTTCAACGTCTGAGCAACCCTGCTGTGTCTGTCATTCTAAATGCGCCCCCCTCTCCCCACACACACATACACATCCGTGGGTGCAGCAAGGATCCCAGACTGCCCTCTGGAAAAGGTCCCAGTGAGGCTTTGACTGTCACATCCTTTTCCAACACTGATGGGTCCCCTTCTCTGACCTCATCTCTTGCCCCTTCCACACCTGGACACACCTATCAGCTCACAAATCCTACATTTTAGCACTTCCTGGGCCTTTGACCTGGACCACCACCCTTCCCTACTCTGCCTAGCCCATTCCAGTTATCCACATGGCCAGTTCATCTATGGATCACCTGAAGCCACATACAGAGTTGTGCTCCAGCTTTTGGCGATATTTAACAACTGGGTCAACTGGATCGGGGTGGACAGAGGTAAGCTGGCTGGAGCAGGGCCGCCAGTCAGGCCACATTTAGTTGCTGGGTCAAGGGAGCTTGTCTGTGGGACCACCTGAGCTGTGCAACCAAAAAAACGCGTTGGGCCACACCATCAAGAACCAGCTGCTCATGTCACCTAAGCCAACCTTGCCATCTGTGGGCTGTTGAGGGTAGCCCTGGGGCTGCTCACCTCCACGTCGTAGTGGGCCATGAGGATGGCAAAACTGCTCAGGTGGCTGCATTGGCAGGTGATGCTGTTATTCGTGCTGCCCAGCTTCTTGCAGCCTGTGGTGGACCAGGACCCACCACTGTCGTTACCCTTCCAGAAGGCACAGATTAGCTCCTGACGTGAATTGAGCTCCTCCGGCTGTGGGCAGGTGGGGGTGTTCAGAGATGTTAGCCCAGAGTCCACACTTGGGGTCTGAGCTTGGGCTGGGTCTGAGGAAGCTGCTTTGCATTGACAAGTATTTACTGAGCACCTACTGTGTGTGCTAGGCCGGGCACAGCAGTGAACAGGGCAGACACAAATCCCTGCCCTTGTGGGGCTGACATGCTCACTGGGGAGACAGGCAGTAAATAATAAACCTAATAGATAAGTAAGCCCGATAGTGTTTTAGAAGGTGGTAGGTGCTATTTAAAAAAAGAAAGAAAGAAAAGAAACAGGATAGGAGAAAGATAGGGCATGACTGATTACAGATTGTAATTTTAAATAAGGAGGTCAGAGAGAGCCTAATAGAGAAGGTGGCATTTGAACAAAGACTAGAAACATAAAGGACTGAGTCATGTGAGGGAAAGGTATCTGAGCCAGAGAGCACAGCAAGTGCAAAGGCCCTGAGGTACATTTAAGGAAGTAGAAGGGGCGGAGGTGGGGAAATGAAGACTGCAGAGGGGCCACCATGACCTTGGCTATGGGGTGAACAGTGGGGCTGATCCTACCTCCCCACCCAAGGACTCACACGGTAGGAGAAGGAGAAGGTGACAGGAGGGTCTAGTTTCTCCGTGTTCTTGTTGCTCAGAAAGACCGTGTTGACGGTGGAGAGGATCTTGGCCTGAGCTTTGTTGACATAACTTTCATGTGTGTCTTCCAGCTGGGCTTTCTTCTCAGGGTCCAGCTCCACGGAGGCATTGACCAGCAGTGTCTCCATTTTTCGGCTGGAGAATATGCCTGCCACAGTGGGGCCTGGGGAACAGACATGCTGGCTACCTTCCTCCCTCCCTCCCAAGACGTCCAAATTAGGCTTGGCCAGTCCACCATGATGCCTGGAGTCTCTCACGATGGCTCAGTTTCCAACTGTTACATATTTGGAGCCTCACGCCTAGCCATATCCCAGCTCTTTCTTCCCTCTCCCACCGGTGCCCCCTCCGGCCACCTGCTGTTACCTGAGTCCCCGACTCCAGCTGCCTGAGTCCAGTCCAGCTTCATTCGTGCATGGCTCTGGCCCAGGGTGACGATTCCATTCCGTCGCTCCTGGATCATCAGGGACAGCTCTGAGGGGAGAAGGGCAGTGACTGTGGGATCCAGATGCAGGATGGGGCCCAGGGTTGGGGCAGGACAGGAAGAGGCCTCACCTGTGCCCAAAGGGGAATGGTAGGTGAAGGAGGGTCCAGGCAAGGTCTTAGCCAGGTTCCTCAGGACTTCTTCGAGGTATGAGAGCAGGTGGGTGGCCACGCGGTACCGGTCAGATAGGGCCAGGGCCTCCAGGTCCCCAGGGACTTCCAGCTCATCCAATGACGTGATGAATTTCTGGGGGTGATGGGTGACAGCTGCTGGGTCCCTGCACCACAGGGACCGCCCAAAGAACACTGATCTCACTCCCTCACTAGGGAACACACTGGAGAACCCCCCAGGTTGCCTGGGGGACAGACTCAGGGGAATCATCTAGATACTGCAGTAGCCAGAAGACAAATGTGAGTATATGCCTATATGGCACTTAGCGTTGATTAGCCACTGACTCTCTGCCAGGTTCTCTCCTAAGTCTGCACTGTCCAGAACACTCACCGCGAGCCACACGTGGCACCATATTGAAATGGTAATATTTTGAATCTATTGGGTTAAATGGAATCTTCACATTAATTTCACTTGTTTACTTTTACTTTTTAAAAAATCCTCACCCAAGGATATGTTATTATTGATTTGCAAGAGAAAGGAAGGGGGAGAGGGAGAGAAACATCTATGTGAGAGAGAAACATCAATTCGTTGCCTCCCGTACACACTCCAATCTGGAATTGAACCCGCAGCCTTTTGGTGTAGAGAACAATGCTCCAACCAATTGAGGCACCTGGCCAGGGCTAGTTTTCATTTTTTTAAAATATATTTTTATTGATTTCAGAGAGGAAGGGAGAGAGAGAAACATCAATGATGAGAGAATCACTGGTCGGCTGACTCCTGCACACCCCCCACTGGGGATTGAGCCCGCAACCTGGGCACTTGCCCTTGACCTGAATCAAACCTGGGGCCCTTCAGTCCATAGGCCGTCACTCTATCCTTTGAACCAAACCAGCTAGGATTATTTTTACCTTTTTTTTTTTTTTAAATAAAGCTACTGGAAAAATTTAAATGACAAAGGGGCTCATATATTTCTACTGGGCTATGTGCATATGCTGAAACTTACATCCAGTGCTTACTGTGGGCCAGGCACTGTTCTTTGAGAAAGATTCTCTTAGTTCATTTAAACCTTCACAACCGCTGTATAAAGCGGGAGACGGGGACCCAGAGAGGGGGACCCTGAGGTCACGGCAGTGACTCCACTCCAGAGGCAAAATTCTGAATTGCTCCATTCTGTAGCCATTATATCCCTCGCGAGGGCCACCCAGGAATGGTGGTTGTGTATGTACATCCGTTTGTGCAATGGGGATATACAGGGTGTCCTCAAAAATGTATACATACTGCCGAAACCGGTTTGGCTCAGTGGATAGAGCGTCGGCCTGCAGATTGAAAGGTCCCAGGTTCGATTCCGGTCAAGGGCATGTACCTGGGTTGCGGGCACATCCCCAGTAGGAGATGTGCAGGAGGCAGCTGATCGATGTCTCTCTCTCATCGATGTTTCTAACTCTCTATCTCTCTCCCTTCCTCTCTGTAAAAAATCAATAAAGTATATTTTAAAAAAAAACTTAAAAAAAAGTATACATACTTTAACAGCTGGTAGCTCAGTTTTGAAAATGAAATATACTTTAATCAGCACTGCCTTTATAATTGTTCAGGCTGTGTCCATACACTTTTGGGGGACAGCCTATATCTGGTGTGTGTGTAGTGTGAGTACAGCCACAGCTGTTTTTCTGATTAGAGACCCCTGCTTGGGCTGTCTCCACTCACACTGAAGCATCCCCCAGCCACCCTCACACTGTCCTGGGCTTCCCCCCAGGTCATGTCCTTACGTGGATGGTGTCCTGGGCCGAGGCAGACGTAAAGTCTCTGCTCAGTTCCTGGACTTTTTCAAAGAAGTTGGAGAGACTCTGGGGAAAGAGGAGACGAGGGGTCAGAAACCCTCACAGGTGGGTGGGGGAGCGTGGGAAAATGGGTGGACGGTGGGCTGAGTGGAGGGACCTTGCCTCCTGGTCCCGGCTGGAGTCACTCACCTGGCTCTTGATTCCAGGGGGCAGGGTCCTGGTGGGGAAGATCTCTGCAGGGGACAGAACAGCTGTCCATTAGGGGTGTGTGTGTGTGTGTGTGTGTTGGAGTCAGGGTCTAGGGTCAGGCCCTACTTTCACACCGAGTAGTCCTTTGCTTATTCAGGAATCTGGGCCCCTCTCCTCTCCTTGCCCCACCCCCTTCCCGTGTCCAGTCCCCCTCCCACCACGCCTTGGCTGGAGGTGATGACACCTGCTGACTGCACATCCCTGAGTGGCGGTCACAGGGGTTATGGGAAGTGTGCAGAGGCCTGACCCACAGCAGGTAAGCCTCCACAGAGGTACAGGTTGTGAGATATTAAATACCTTTGTCCCAGTTAGTAATTAGCTGCTGCCTGGGGTCCCCCAGGAGCCTTCTCCTTGGTACCCCAGCTCCTTCTGCAGGACCCCCAGATCTTTTCCCATTTAGTCTCAAAGAATGGAAGCCTGGCCCAGCAAGGCACCCACAGCATTCATTCTGCTGGGTTCGTGTGGGTGCCCGTGAATATGTGATCAGGTGGCTTGAGCTGTGGGTCTTTGGGAATGTGGGGTCTGAACTCCGAACCTTCACAGACGGTGTTGTGTGGGCCATTGGGGGACCCAGGAATCGGCTTCCAGCCCGGGCGG